TTTTTTTTTTTTTGGTTTTTTTTTTTGTCTTCTCGTTGTAGCCTACTTGCTTGTGCTTCTGTTTGGGTGCGTACTAGCGTCGTGTAAGGCGCCTTTTTAAAGGTACCTCACACAACTGTGAAGGCAATAATGGCCCCGACGTCTTTTGAGACGCATGAATCTGATGGCTTTATCCTCTCTGAAATATTCTACGCCGCGTGCCTAGAAACTCTCTTCTCCGCGTACATTGTGCCACTCAGCAATACTGTGCGCCTGCCGTACTCTTCAACTGGTCCGTCCCCGTCGACGTGCACAGATTACACTGCCCTCCTGCGCACATTTGGGGGCGATGTGCTGGACGTTTTGGCCTGCCACCGGGCCCTTATCAACAGTCTGCAGGCGCTCAAGGAAAGTGGCGAAGATGGTGCATCCACCAACGCGCCTTCGGGTGACGAGGGCGAAAGCCAGACGAATAATGTCCTAACTGTACTGCACCAGGTGCTACCCGCGATGCGAGCGTCCTACCAAAGGTACGTAACAAACTTTCATATTAACGTCCAACAAGCCGAATTAGCAAAGACCTCCGTGTCTGCCAATGTTTGGAGCATCAGCTACATAACCTTGGCCCGTGGCACGCTTGCGAAGTGCTTGTTTGATCTTGGTGTGGAGGTAGAAGGCGTGACCTTATTGGCAGATTCCGGAAACGTTTCCTTTGAGGCCCTTGTTGCCCTCCCAGTGCGGCACATCGCCCGTTACCCACTGTACATTGAAGATTGGATTGGGGCTCGACGAGGGACTGCAGCTGACGGGACGACAATCATTCAATATGCACAAGAGACCCTGAAGGCATTTCGCGGTATCTGCAGCGCGGCCAATGCGGTGCGCAGTGAACTGCTTCAGGTCCAGAAGGCAGCCGAGCTTAAAAGGATGCTCGGAGTGACAAAGCTCACTTCACGGTTCATAAGTGAGGGTGATGTTGCTGTGATGTTCACCCGGGAGACCACGATTGAAACCCTTGAAGGACGGTATTGCCGTGGAAGACTTTTCCTCCTCGACGACTGTTTGATATTTGCACTTCGCAGTGACAGCAGCAAGGAGGGGGCGATGCAAATGAAGAGGATCCCACTCGCAAATATTCTGTCAGTGCGCAGTTTACTCTGTGGGGTCAGGTGTGGCGTTCAGATCAGCTACGCAATCCTTGAGAGGTGGCGAAAATGGGTGTGCAACGAGCGAGTGCAGTGTGCTGTAGTCTTTGTGTCGAATGAAACAGAAGTGATTCTCTGGGTGCACGACATCAGCCAGGCGGTGTCGGATTTGGTAGCCAAAACATGATACTTGTATGAGACTGCTTGTACGCCTTTATTCCATTTGCTTTTCTTTCCTTGTCTTGTTTTTTTCCACCTTCCCGTCGACTCACTCGACGCACTGCCGCAGCGCTCTCCAGAGCCCATTGCGCATGCGTCTGTGTGTCACAGTACCACTCATTGGGGGTTTCAGTTTCCTTTCTTTCTCTCTCTCTCTCTCTCTTTCTCTCTCTGGAGATCCACTGGGAGCTGTAACTATTACTATTGTGTCTCCTCTTTCTCCTTTCCCATTTTCCTTTTCGTTGGATTTGTACCCACACCTCTACGACGGTGCCGACGGCGACGCAGATCTGCATTGAAAATCCGGCTTCAGACTGGCCGTATGGCCGGTTTGCCTCCCAAGGTGCAGTACACGCACATGTGTGCAACAGCAAGGTGTCACGTGAACACCCAGCTCATGAAGGACCTGCCTGACACAGTCGAGGGCTTACGGGCGTTGAGGAAGCTTGACTTTTCGCGCAGTATGTTGGGAGGAAGTGATGTTGAACCACTGGTGGAGGCGATACTCCGACACTGTTCTGGGCTTCAAGTTTTGAACTTATCGCAGAACTACCTCAACGACAATAGCATTATACAGCTATGTGAGGCACTCACTGAGTACTCCCCATCACTGGTGTCTCTGGACCTGTCCAACAACCCACTGTCAAACAAGGCGGGTCGATATCTACTCCGCTTCATCGATAGCATGCCTTCACTAAAATATATCAGTGTTCAAAAAACACTAATGAGAGACAATATGTTGCGCCTATTTCCGCAGTCATCCACAAAGCTCTCGCCAGCTACAACATGCCAAAGACCTAGCACACTCACTACAATGACCAACACTTCGACATCGGATACGATCGGCATTCAACAAGAAATATCGGCAAGTAGTTTGAATGTCACAGCGAGAGAAGAAACACAATCGCTGCAGCAAAAGGTGCAATGGCCAGCGCTTAAAACCATATGGAGAGCGGCGGCAATTGCAGCACCTACACCCCAGGCCTACTCCAGACTCCACCTACTCATGTCCATGACGTCTGAGGAGCAGTACGAGGGCAACAAAACAAACTCCGCCACCCCCCTCTAGAAACACCCAGTCGACAGTGATATAAAACATTGTAGTATTCATTTAAAAGAACCCAAGTGACTTCGCACTCTCCCACACCGAGAAAAAAAAAATGATCAGTAATTCATTGCTATTTCTAAACAACCACCAAAACTTCACACCAATTCGCCCCTCATTTTTCCCATATCTTCGTCCCCCCTTACATACACACGCACGTGCACTGGAAGAAAGCCTCATTGCTCATCTATTAACAACACCAACAACAACTAAACTGATATGCCCATCAAGGTCGGTATCAACGGCTTCGGCCGCATTGGCCGCATGGTCTTCCAGGCGCTCTGCGAGATGGGTCTCCTCGGCACGGAGATCGATGTCGTGGCGGTGGTCGACATGAACACGGACGCCGAGTACTTCGCGTACCAGATGAAGTACGACACGGTGCACGGCAAGTTCCGCCACACGGTGACGACGGCGAAGAGCAACCCTTCGGTGGCGAAGGACGACATGCTGGTTGTCAACGGGCACCGCATCCTGTGCGTGAAGGCCCAGCGCAA